CGAATTTCAATTCGCACTCTCGGCTCCGCCCCTCGGGGTCCCCCCGCTGCCTTTTCCTTCCTTTCGCTCCCCTAATCCTTGTTTTTCCCTCTTTATCCCTTCTTTTTCCCCCTTTTCCCTCTTTATCCCTTCTTTTTCCCCCTTTTCCCTCTTTATCCCTTGTTTATTCCCCTTTTCCCTCTTTATCCCTTGTTTATTCTCATTTTCCCTTCTTTTTTTCCTTATTTATACCCCTTTTTCCCGGCTTTTCCTTCTTTTTTTCCCTTCTTCTCCCTTTCCCTTCTTTTCCCCCTTCATCCCTCCTTTTTAACCTCCCTTTACCTTTTTTCCTCCTTCTTTTCCTTCTTCTCTCCTCCTTTATTCCCTTTTCCTTCTTTTTCTTTCTTCTTTTTTTGTCCTCTCCCGCTTTTCCCTCCTGTTTTCCTTCTGTTTTCCTCTTTAATCCTCTTTTTTTTTTTTAATTCCTCCGCGCTCCTCTTTCGCTTCTCTCTTCTTCCTTTTCCCCTTTTCCTTTTTTTTTCTTTTCACTTTTTTGACTTCCCCCTTCTTTTATCCTCTTCCCTTATTTTTTTTTCTTTTTTATTTTTTCTTCCAGTCCCTTTTTTTCTCCTTTTCGCCTCTTTTTTTCCCCCTTTTTTCCCCCCCCCCTTTTTATCCCGGGCCTGTTTTCCACCTGGCGAAGGCGGATTTAGGGCGGGGGGAGGAGGAGGAGGAAGAGGAGGAGGAGGAGGAGGAAGAGGATTAACGTTGGAATTTTGGGGTGCAATAAAATCAATAAAATTTGGGGGGTGGGGGAGGGGGGTCACCCCTGTAAATTTGGGGGGGGGTTGGGGTGTGCCGGGTTGGGGGTCCCGGCAGAATTTGGGGTTGCTGGGGAGGGTCTCTGGGGTTCCGGGGGGGGTCACGGGAGGGTTTTGGGGTGGAAAAAGAGAATTTTGGGGACCCCCGAGCCCCCCCGGCGCGGGGGATGCCGGGAAGGGCCCCGCCCCCTCCCCAGCGGCCCCTGCGGCGGGGGGGGAGGGGCGGGGCGGCGGACTGGGACGGACTGGGACGGACTGGGACGGACTGGGACGG